CCAAGAGTCGAGGGTTCTACGCGGCCCTTCGGGACAAATACATAGGTCCTTCGGGATAAATACATAGGTCCTTCGAGACAAATTTCATATGCCACTCAGTGGGACTTATATAAGCTGTGGTGACAACATAAGTGCACAACCTCAATGTACTCAAATACCTTAAGTTCTCAGTAATGTACATGGGATTATAAAAGATATCAGAAGTATACATGGGCTAATACATGGTCTTTAAAGAGAGTAAATAAATCAATTAATATGATACTATGTGTGCTCTATGGTGAAATGATACATGTGTTCCATGATATGTATAGAAATGTTCAGTATATGCTTATATGATTAAAAGGAATTAGTTATAGTAATATAAATACTGATAAGCATGTTAATGGATTATAAGGATTATAGGATACTATGTGTGTTACATGATGTACAGAAATAAGAATGTGAATTATAATATATGTGTAAGTGGGTAATTGTTGCATGACAGAATATATGTTGTTGTGTGTGTATTGTTTAATTAAGAATGACTAAGAGATATAAAAGATAATGGAATGAGGTAAGGATGGTATATATTCAGGTATTCATTCTGTTATAAGAAATGTTCTATGATTTTATTATATGTTTTATATGCCTCACTAAGTCAATGACTTAGCGTGTGATTGTTTCACACGTAGGTTTCGAGAAGAGGAAGATTGATAAAAGTTATGCAAGACATGTATGTTTCTCCCTTCCAAAGTTCAGATCAGAAAAGAATTGAATTGAATAGATTGTATTTTGTAATATTGATTGAGGTTGACATGTAAAAAAAGATTTGAATCCGATATATATTCTAATCGATTTTGTAAAATCATATGATTCAGTTTTGTAATGTTTTAAATGTATATATGCAAATGGTAAATGTATAGTGATGAACGTTTTAAATTTTATGAGTTTTTAATAAGTGGACGAAATTACTGTAGCAAGGGTATCAGTACACTGTAGCAGGGTATCGATACTCCTGCAACATTCTGTAAAATTTTTAGAATCGGTATTGTTCATGGTATTGTTCACGATACTGTTCATTACTGTTTACGATATTGTTCATACAATATATAATACTATTCATACAATATAGTACTGTTCATTGAAAACATATTTTTTTCAAATTTGTTATAATTAAATATAATTCAACAATACATGATCGTATTTTCTTAATATAAGTCTAAATGTTCTGCTATTTTGTAAGGAAATTATTTTAAAGAGTCAATGTGATATCTCGGACTCGTTTCTGGGTCGGGTACGGGTTGGGGTGTTACATTCTCTAGAACGCATGAATTGTTTCGTGTCACAGAGTTACTGCGACCTCTTCAAGGGATTGAAGTTGTGTCGTTAAGAGTAAATCTACAGGACAAATGGCGCGACTGCGGGTTTTTTCAAGCTTTGAAGTATCCATGCTCTCATGTGATAGTAGTTTGCTCGCATACCCGTCAAGACTATAACCGTTTTGTGGATCCCATATACCTACTATCAGAAGTGTTTAAGGTATACGAATTTGAGTTCCCCCCATAGGTAATGACAAAGACCCTAATGAGGTTCAGAATTGGGTTCCGATTGTACCATAATCGATTTTATTGAGGGATTGTGGCCGTCCAAAATCCACTCGAATTCATTGTGATATGGATATTTGATAAAAAAATCTAGACACATCAAAAAATGTGGGCATTGTAGAAACTCATGACACACTAGAAGAACATGTCCACTTCTGTTGTCATCAAGTAACCATTAATGAGGAATTGATGTAGTTGTTGTTTATCAAATAATAATTCTTGTATTTTAATTTACATTTACTTAAAGTTAATGTCATTCGATAACCGCTGATAAAGATTAAAAAAACGATACAAAAAAACGAGATTCGACGTTGGCGTTATATGTGATTATAATAAAAGAGATAATAAGTGATAAACTTAAGAAAGTTATCGAATACAATTATTAAATTTTATCAAACTAATAGCAATTTGGTATTTGAATATAATTTTAAATACAACAAACTTACAATAAGTATTAAATGGTAAATAATAAAAATATTACAATAACTGATATTAAATGGTAATAAACAAAATTAACAAAATAAATTAACAAAAAGTCCAACAAAATTAACAAAATAAATTAAGTATTAAATGATAAATAATAAAAAAATTACAATAAAAAAATCCAATAAACAACTAAATACAAATATAATAAAATATCAAAATCTATCGATGTCTACGGTGCGAATGTGTTCCGCAGGGCGGTGACTGTCTGTCTCGAGGAGGATTTCTTCGTATAATTGGTTCTGACTCCTCATTGTCATCATCATCACCATTATCATCATCGTCGTCGTTGTCGTTTGGAGCAGATAAATTTTGTTGATGAGGAACTGATGACGATGTAGCACCTTCATAGAATAAGGACCCTGGAGGTGTATGACTGACTTTTCACCGCTCATAGAAAACTAGGAAAACTCAGAAAACACAGACATCGATGAGTGTGAAAACTGTACAAGAGATATCTGTGCGGCGACCATTGGTGATGTGGTTGCACCCGCAAAATAACCATCATATGAACCCCAAGTCAGATATGCAAACATAGACTCATAATATCCTCCAGAGGGGGTCATATAACTCTGTGAGGTGGTGGCGACAACATCTGGTAAAGGAAACACGATGGTGGCATCAGATATGGCTGCAGGGTGTAGGTAGCTGCAGAAGGTTGTTGCTGTGAAGGTTCCGGTGGTGTAGCTGACGAAAAACCAGAAGCACCTGCTCTATGTCCATGAGTCAAGAGACGATGGGGTTGTGACGATGCACATCTCTGTCGACGTCGATGAATGCTCCATCCTCGTGCATCCTTGGAAACCAGAAACGATTTTCAATTACTGTTGAACCACTCATAATAATCATCTGGAACCATCAAGTGGTCAACATAAATGGGCTCTCTATGGGGAAGGTGTCGATGTCGATCCTCCCACATCATGACCCACTCATAATGCTTCACCAGCCAATTTGTATCCGCCTTGCCGCGTCAATCTGTGTTATACAACTGGTCCATATTACGATGTGCTTTCGGAATTGGTTATACAAAACCAAATTGTCGGAGCACGCAATCAGTGGGGTGCCACTCGACAATCGCATAACATATCAGAGAGACCATCGCCATCCAAACATCTGATGGGCCCTCAACTCAAGTGGGATACACATCCTCATATCATCATTAGAATATGGAACTCATTCAAACTAAACAAATATATATAATTCTTATCAAAATAATAATCTAATTATATAACTATAATACAAAATCGATTTTTAAACATTAAAATGCATACATCTGTGCCAGCCTTCTGATCGATTAGTAGCCTGATTATTTCTAATTCATCGGTAGATCCCGATGATTTTTCTTGTCAATAGACCACATATTCAAGGAAAATTTTTCTATTATAGACTGAAGAAAATGATTATTATACGAAATCAGTTTTGTAATTACCTCAATAGTAGCGGAAATATGAACGGGTTCTTCACAACATAATATAAAAAGGGCAAGCGATACCATGCCTAAGACTGCAGCAGAAGGAGACATCCGCCGATAACATTTTTCCTGTAGTCAATCGCTCGACACATTTCCCTATACATGAATGTCAAATTTGTCAAGCCCCAACTTAGTGATCCGGCCAGATAAAAGTCGCTAAGATGTCTCAATCACATACAGTGAACTTGGTTGCGCGATTTGTCCGGCATCAGTAACCCTCCTATCAGCTACAATATGCATGTTCGTGCATACATTTTAACTTGATCCTCTGAGGCGTCCTCACTCAAATTCTGAAAATTTGCATCTAACCAATTTAACGGTATCCGACCACCGTTAAAATTTCGCGGGACACCTCCTAGATAATCCTGGCACAAAGTAGTCCAGTTACCGTGCGCCATCCCTGAAATCACATCCCCATCCACCAAAAACCCTAAGTGCATAGAAACATCCTCAAGTGTAATCGTGCACTCTTCACACGGAAGATGAAATGTGTGGGTCTCCGGCCTCCACCGCCCCAGTAATGCAGAAATCAGGTTTTGTTCTATCTTACAATGGCCTTCTTATCTAGCTATGTGATCAAATCCAGCCTCGATTAAATACGGCTAGATACGGGTAGATAGCGCTAACTTAAAATTCCTAATAAAAGGTACTAATATAAGGTCGCTCTCCTAAAATATTAATAATTACAAAAATTAATTTATAAATTAATAATCATGCAATAAATAAATAAATTATTACTAATAATTTAAATTAAATTAAAATATAAAAATGTTACCGTATCAGCAAAATGTCGAGATATATGATTTCCATCCCAATGAAGTAGACCGCCTTCTATTTTATAATTACAAAAAAAATAATTAAATAAAATATTAAAAAAAATAAATAGTTAAATAAAATACAAACAAAATATTAAATATAATAAAATATACCTTAAAGAGCTATGAGAAAATATAAGAGTATTTAAGATAAGTTGAGAGAATTTGGTCTGATGAAAGTGATTGAGAATGAAGGTATTTATAGGGAGAGAATGAGGTGTGAAAGGACGCGTGGTTGGAAAATTAAAGAAAATGCGTGGTGCCTACACCGCGCATTTCTGATACATGTCAAAATTAAAACAAAGGTGCAACTATGCATCGCGCTATATCATTTCGTGACATAAAGTATGCCTCATGTACCATACCTTAGTTAGTGTACCGTCATATCAGCATAAGGCGCGGTTTATGGATCGCACCTTACCCCACGTAATGTCAGATTAATGTAAGGCGCAATGCATGAGTCATGCTTTTTTGTAAAAAGTATTAGATCTGTAAATAAAGATGAAAAGATATTTGATAGTTAATTAAAATTATAAAGGGTGATTTTTTTTTTGGTGTTATCGCCTTGGACTTTTCTTACAGTGTCTTATTTACTACAGACTCCACTCGAGTCAAAACTATTTTCATAAATTTTAAAGGGAAAAAATATAAAGAAAGGCAGTGTGAAAAATGGAAACCGTGAAGATCGGGTCTAATCCCAGGATTTAACCGAATCTTGGTGTCTGTAATTATATAAATCCCTCAAGAAAAATAGAGCTCCGAACGATTATTTTAGTCTTTTATTTTAAAGGTATTTTTTTAAAATTTTGTTGTGATTTTAATTCTTATTTTGGATTTTCTTTATTGATTTTCAATGTCTTTTTGAGTTTTTTTCCTTTAAAATAAAAAAAGAAGTTGAAGTGTTGGAGTGGAAGGAGCTGTGGTTTTAAAATCTGGGTATGTTCTTTCATTTTCCTGGAAACTTAAGCCGAGTATTTTTTTTAAAGAAACTTTCTGTTCAATTTTCTTGCATTTTCTTTGCAACCAAAACAAAGGGAGTTTTTTTATTGTTTGGATTTTGATGTAGGAAGTGAAAATATTGCATTTTAGTGGTGAATTTAGAGTGATTCGCAATTTTATTTTCTGTTCAAAGTAAAGATTTTTACTTGTTTGAATTTGGTGGAAAAGTTTGAAAATTCAAATGCCAGAGGAGGACTTGGTAGAACTTAAATTCCGATTGTATGATGGATCGGATATCGGTCCATTTCGATACTCACCTGCTTCAACGGTTGCTATGCTCAAGGAAAGAATCGTTGCTGAGTGGCCCAAAGGTCAGTGCTTCAATTTTCTCTACAGAAGTTGATTGCTTCAAATACCAAATTGCATTGTAAATTTCCAAGTAAATCCAAATTTAAGCTTCTTCAAAGGAGGCATAATTCTTATAAATTAAGTGTGCTTTGCTTTAGTGTTGTCTCTAGGGATATGCAGAACTGTTTTGCTCCCTTCTTTGCATTTTTGATTTTATAGTTATGGCTTGATTGAATTAATCTCTCCTTGTCTTTAATATAATGTAGTGGGAAGTTTTGTTCTTAGATTTCTTGTTTCAAGTTGTTTTGAATGTTGCATTTAAGTTGGATTGTTTAAAAGGGCGCATCGGCATTTGTCATCTGGTTGTTTCACCTTAACTATGTTCACTTTCCGGGAAATAATAGTGGACTGTTTGTATAACTTAATCCAGCTGTTTGTCTTTTCCTATATTCATTGACGGCATTACTGGTCATTGGGAGGATTTAGTTTGATAATAAATGGTAACTGGTTTGTACAAATACGCAAGTTTTCACGCTTTTTGACAGAAGTGGCCATGAAAATGGTGTTCACATAGGAGACTTCTTAAGTTTTTTTAATCCCAAGCAGCTCCACCTTCTATTTTTGGATCCTATAAGTGGATTTTTACTCTCTGATATGATTAATTTTAGTTTGGATGAAGTTGATATTGCTTGTTCATGCATCAATGAAGATATTCAGGGTTTCCTCTGCCATCCTATTCTCTGTTGGTTTTTGGTTCCTTGTTTTAGACTACTACTATTCCATCCTTCTGCTGCGTATGGTTAATGACCGGCCGGACGACCAATATATTTTCATTTACATGTGTGGATGGTACTTCTGAGATCAAACAAGTTTTTTTAATCTTTTTTTTTTGATAAAAAGTTTTTTTAATCTTTGATTTCAATGTAGTAAGATGATCTTATGTTCCATTTTGTAATACTTGCTGAACTAACTTTGCAAAGCATAAAACTTTGTTTTTTTTTTCATCCTTTTGGTCGGTATGATGCCTTGTTCATTCATCCTGCTTTCATGCAGTCAAATTTATTGGGTTGAAATTACTTCGTAGTTACAATTGCAATCGAAAACCTACTCCCATTGCTGACAATATATGTTTTATTTGTTCCCTTATCCCATCTTCTTGTTCTGCTCTGCTCTGTTGTGTTGAGTGATATTATACCAACAAGGTTATCAATGGCTACATGGAAATACTGTTTCATTTTACTTTTGCCCATCCACTTCAAAAGGTTCTACCTCATTTTTTGTGAGTCTTTTTGTACTGGTAATCTCGAACGATTTTGAGGATACCTTGGTTACGAGAATATTGTGAATTTTCAAGGTTTCTTCTAAAGTGTTGGACTATATATTATACTTGAGACTGCTAGATGATTTAGTATATTCCTCTCGTGCCCCTTGCCTTTACTTTGTCCTGTGGATAGTCACATCTCTTCTGCTGATATGGAGGGAACCATATGCTTTTGTTGATGACTAATCGTACATGAGAGTGCACATACTTCAGAATGGAAAATTTTATTTCTGAACCTTCATAATGGTCGGATGCATGTAGCAAAGATCTAGATAAAAATGTCGTCTTTGTGCTTTCTAATGTTCGATCTTAGTTGGTTTGATACGTGTTAGATAAAAAGTTTGCGCCCAAGGGAACCAATGACATCAAGCTGATAAACGCTGGGAAAATTTTGGAGAACGACAAGACTGTTGGCCAATGTAGAGCACCTTTCGATGATCTCCCTAGAGTGGCCATCACTATGCATGTTGTTGTCCAGCCATCTGTAACAAAAACGAAAACAGGTACTCCAGTCTTGTCATAACTTTTCTCACTGCAAGCAGATTTTTTTATGTTTTCTTTCTTATATGCTGAATGTTAAAATGTGGTTAATCTTTGTATATTAGCAGAAAAGAAGGTGGATGAGGCGCCACAGAAAAACTTATGTTCATGTTCCATATTGTAAAAAAAAACTTCTGTTCCTGTTCCATGAGTAGAACAGTGACATCATTCTTACATGGTATGTATGAGGGTGTTCTCGGGTAACAGTGAGTCGGCGACGATGTATTGGCATCTTTATAGAAACGGGTTTTTTCTTGCATCTGATAGCTGACTTCATCTATAATGGAAAGCTTATGGATTCATTGACATATATACGATCATCTTCCAGCCATGATCTTGATCCAATCTTGTATTTATTACCATATTTACTACTAGCATTTCACCAATAGCAATTATAAATAAGCTATCCAGTTCCGTGTGATTCCGTTGCATTTAATTTATATAGCAAGTAATAGCTTTAGCATGAGCTAAATGATACAGGCTGTACCACCACCGCCTCATTTCAACCTTGTTCACGGGTATTATATCAATGCTTCCCTTTCAGGCAAGGCAATAATTGCACCTAAACGACCCTGCAGATAGATGCTTGTGACCCCATTGAAGGAATGTTCCAATCCAATCTGCAAAACTAGTCTTTTAAGTTTGGGTCTTAAAACCAATCCCATCGATCCACATATTGCCAAAATACATTCACATGTCTTTGTTTTCTTGTGAATTTTTTTTCCTGATAAATTCAACCACTTTTGCTTGCCATTGGATCTCTCCATCAAAGTCCCATTATCCTCTATCCACATGATAAAATGATAATGCTTCATTAGATATTTGATTGAAACCAATCGATTGTTCATACAGAAAGTTGTCTCTCATCTCTCCAAAATCTTCTGCCATGAAACCAGTGATTCCCTTCCTGTTTTTATCTCTTCTAAGTAAGATATTATCTTTTCAAACTGAGTCAGCAAAAAACAATGGTCAGATCACTGTAATGGGCCTTGTTTATTGTGACATTTGCTCCAACAACAGCTTCTCCAGACACAGCTACTTTTTACCAGGTGAAGTGTCTCTTCAACAACCTACGCCTTGTTCCATGTTCTGTTGTTTTACTCTTTGAATATTTGGTAGGTAACAAAATTAAACCGAAAGCATGGTTTCTTATCATTTAACATGTTTTCCTAACCCAGGCGCCGAGGTTCGAATAGACTGCAACTTCAGGGCATTTGTTCCGAGAACAAGAGAACAAATATCGTTCTCTGTCAACAGAACTACGGATAAACGTGGGGTATACATGTTGGACATACCATCGGTCGATGGGATCGAATGCGCGAAGGCAGCCATTGCATCGACTTGCCAGGCAAGCTTAGTTGGGAGCTCATCTACTTCGTGCAACATTCCAGGTTACAGTAGCACAACAGATGAGATAGCAATCAAATCCAGACACCCCAATATCTGCATCTACAGCCTATCTGCATTGAATTTCAGACCATCGAAAAGAGACGTTACTTTGTGTGGGAAATAAAGCACGACATCTCAACTTGTTAGTCCCATATTACATAATTCATTCTCTTTTTATTAACACAATAATCCCGGTTATAGAAGATAGATACGGTCGCCTTCTCCTCAGCTATCCAGTGAAGGTTCTTTCTGTTTCCCAGTCTGCACATAACACAAGAAATGGAGAGCTTGCGCTACCCTTTTGCAGTTGCCTTCCAGCCTTACTTGGTGCTCTTAAGGACGAAAAAAGAGCCATATATTAATCGGTATTTTCATCCTTTCATTGTTGTTTATGCATATGGAGTCAAGGTCAAGCTTGTGGACATACATGATCGATGTACCATATATGTTATTTAGATATTAGTAATGACAGTATTTAAATGTGATAAGCTAAACAATTTCTCCAATTCTGCATATTAATTATTCCATGGCACCTAGCACTGACTCTGCCAAATACATAGGACGAGAAAGAGAGAGATTTATGTGATGGTATGAGAAGAAAGGCTTTTGTTGGAAAGATTATGATTCATATGAACTCCCCTGCCTGGTGTTCACATTGCTTTTGAAGATGCTTCTAATTCGATCCGATGCGTATGAATGAACTTCGGCTTTGGTTTTATGTATTTGTTTCTCGTCGCGTATCGATATTTTTGTATTATAGAGGATGGACATTTTCAATCCTCTACCACTTAATCCGCAACGTCTTCTTCAGCATAAAAAAATGAAATATGAGACATTATGATTTTGATAAAGACAAATGATTGGATTTTAAAATGATTAATATCTCTAACCTTGGGCATTCAAAGTAGTTTATACTATACATTTTCTTGATGGATTAGTTATTGCTTAACCACGTCAACACTATTCTCCAAATTAAAGATGGACAATTTACAAACAAGAAATACTAAACTTTGAACAATGGCGAAAATCATAAGAAAAAGAAAATGTTGGTACTTAAATGTATAGGCATTTCCTGTCGCAGTATATTGACATTCATTTATTTTCAAATAAGTAGGCACAATACAATACAGTTCAGAGGCTCACACCTCACCTGAAATAAAAACGCCACGAGAGTAACAACTTCTATGAGAGTTTGTATCGAAATCAAAATTTGTGGTCTGGCGGTAAAAGTATATATTGCTTCTACAAGGAAGCCCTTTTTCCTGATATTAGTAACATAAGAGAGAATCACTCAATAGGCTGCTCAGTCCGACAGGCGAATAGATTGCAGGATGTGTAATTTAACCGAGTCGACTGATATGAGACAGCCTACCTCGGACACCCTTGTGTGTGGTTCTCTAGGCTAATGAATGGAAAGGAATCACAGGGTGAACGCACTGAACATCTAACAAGAATTGAAAACTGTTGCTAACAAAAGGTCAAGCCGGGCCACACTTGCTTAAGCAGGCAATTCCCTCTTCCAGATAATCTTCCTTGCTGATCCAAAACTCGGGTGCATCCTGCAAGGTTCAAATATTTCATGCTGTCATCAGATATCAAGCTTTTGAAACATAGTTTTCTCTTTTTCGGCTGTGCAAATGAGAATGTGTTATTGTGTTCACATGTGCATGACTAGGAATGAGAGAGAAGAGCACCTTCATAATCCCCGCAAGTACAGCACCACCAAGATACACCATATGCTTTCTTCGTGGTGGATCCTCAATCCTCAGTCGCAGTTTCTATTTAGAAGCATGAGAAAACTATTTAAAGCTGAGAACAAATTCGTTTTAGCCATTTACTTGTTTTTGCTGTATATAGCTCAAATGATGATTTTACTTGACTTGCTCAATCAATGGCATTAAACAAAAATCAAAGAGAGATTATAGAAACAGTAGATGGAGTAGTTTCTATTATAGGTTCAGCAACAAATATTACCTTCAACCCATCCTTATTTCCCTTTAGAACCACGTCAAGATATCGATCTAGGATTTCCCTCTCCAGCCTGAATCAAAAGAAAATTGTTATAATAAGAAGGCACTGCCATACTAGAGAATGCAGCCAGGGGAATGATGGAACCAGTATTAAAGAAGATACTGGAATTCACTGCATGCAATTTCAAAAGTATCTTAGAAGGTAATTTATATAAGTAAAGCATATTACCTACTAGGTAATCCAGGGTACATGGTGCTCCCTCCACTTAAAACTATATGCTGATAGAGCTGTAAAATATAAAGCAAATAACAAGTTAGGTTTACATAACTAAAATCCAGCCAAGAACATATACATATACTACAGCCAAAGGGGCTCTGTAAATGGGAACAGGAGCACTAGAAAATAACTTTGCCTTGGGAATTTGTATCCTCCATTAGACAAGCATTTTTTACAAAGAAGATATTGAAAGAGCAAGCTCCTTGAAGAAAATGATGACTAAAATAAAGCAAAGGGAAATAGACACGAAAAAAAGCTGCATAATGGATTCAAAGAAAGAGGAGGATAAGAAGATTCATTAAAATGCATATACAGAGTAACAGATTTACAGCATAACGCTTCAGCACTTTGTTAGAGTTATTTTAGACAACAGATACTATATTCCCAGAAATAATTTAGTACCATCATGCGGTTGTCGATATCCATCTCCTGAATGCAGCGGAAAACCATGTCAGCCATACCGTCTCCTTCAACATCAATAAGTTCCTACAAAAGAAAAAAATCTTACTTTGACAATCTGGTCTATCAAATATATTTTTAAACTAAACTATCTTAGTTCTAAACTTCTAACACAATAATTTATTAAAACACGAATCGCAGCCTAATCAATGCAAAACCACATACAAACAATAACTGAACAGCCAACAGATCTGATACACCAATTCAAAAACTACATTACCATTGCAAATATTAATTCACATGGTAACAGTCAAATACATCCAGATAATCCTAGAAAATAGGTAGCACAGAAAAATATTAATTCATATAGTCAATGACAACAGAGAGAACTGCAGTACTTACTGGAGTGAAAAGAGCCTCAGGAGCCTGGAACCTTTCAGTGCCAACTTTTATAACTCTCCCATCAGGCAGCTGTTTTAAACAAAAATTGTCAGTACTCAAGAGACAATACTTTTCAATAGAGTTTTGATACTACAAATCTAGAGAGAACGAAATGCCAGACCTAATCCATAAATGTGCATCAAATTTAACAAGTAAAATCATAAAAAATAACAGATGGGTAATATACCAAAAAAAATTGTTTAGGTTCCTAATAAAGTTTCTTGCATAGGTAATCAAATTTTGTGGCAGACGAGGGAATGATTTACCAAAAGTACTTACAGTGTAATTCTTAACAAGGATGGTGGTCTCCAGTCCCAGTTGATATTCCCTTTTGTAATCATAACTGAATATAAACACAAGCAATGTGACATTGAACTATATACTTGATTCATAAAAATGGAAAACCAAATAAAATGATCTTTCACCTTATATAGCAGAGTTTCTCTTTGATTTCCCTGACAGTCTCAAAATCGGCAGTTCTATTCATTGCATACCTACAGAAAGACACCCAGAAAAAGATCATTCGATGATCAATAGCATTAGTAGTTTAATGTTCTGACAAGGTTTCTCATAAAGAAATGGTCCTCACCCTCTACGTGAGAGTAAATCAACAAGATAGGCTGTTATGTGCCGACCCGCTACATTCATTCGCTTAGTAAGATGAGGAAATGAAAAGCCATCAACAACTGGAACCTGAGACAAAAGGCAAAAGAAATTATTCTCAGGGCTTCACCTCGAGTGCTCCGATGATGGAGCACCTTACTACAAACTGCAACGTATCCTAAAAATAATGGTAAAGGGTTGTTGGACAGTTTACCACATGAGTGACACCATCACCAGAGTCGATAACTAGTCCAGTTAGCAGACCTGCAACAAGTCACAATAGTGCTTTTGAACATTTATGGTTTTGAACAAAGATTCTAGCACCCCACAGTACAAGATTACAATATTCTTAGTAACAGGCTATTATAATAGCTTCCATTATTTTCAAGGGGCAGCAGCTGAACCCCATGTCAAACCGTGAATATTATACAAGCACACACACATATAACTAATTAAACCTTCAATTATTTCTATAGGCACCTTGAGCATACAGAGTTAAAACAGCTTGGATTTGAATGAAGACACCAGAAAAGTTGTATTTTTCAAACATGGTCTCAACCTGCAATCTCAAATCAACCCAACTCATGAGATCCCGAAGTTAGGTTCCAGAAAATTCCAATAAATCAGTAAACTAATAAATTGGACTTCATACCATTTGTTCGCGGTTTTTAGAAGGATTAAGAGGTGGGTCAGTAAGTAATATCTTGCATTCACTAGGATTAATCTGCTTAAAAAAACGTAATTAAGACCAATAAAATAAATAACATGAATAAGAGTCAAACAACAAAAATTTAGGAAAGAAGACCTTCAGTTCATTGTAAAAGGCGTGATCCCAAACATGATACATATCATCCCAATTCTGCACAATACCATTGGTAACCGGATATGATATATCCAATTGATTTCTCAAATCAGCACATGCTTCTCCAACAATAATATCCTAACCAAAGTTCAAATTATGAAAATAAAGAAAATAAATCAATAATTCCAAGTTATACACCAAAAAGTTACAGCTGCAAAATCGGGGGGGGGGGGAAATAATGACACGATCTTAGAATCTCAAAACTTTGAAACAAGTAAAAGAAAAGGCAATATTATAGGAGAATAATTTTAGGACCTTCAACTCTTGTTCCACGAGAGACTCCTCGTATCGTAACATAGGTCTCCCGACCACGCACGGGAAGACAGATGTCGGAAAATTTTCTCCGGCGAAACCGCATTTTACGTACTGCAATCGAACATTAAACAGATCTAGTCAAGTAAACTAAAAAAATCAAATTAAAGAATGATAGAGAAAACTTGGAAATCGAGCTGAATGACGACTAAAATTTAGCTTGAAGTGGGTAATCAAGTGATTGAGTAATTTCTTTGAAAACAATTTCGCGCAGAGAGAGTAAATAAGATTGAAGGTGTGTTTGAAGGAGGGAGAAAAAGGAATTACGCCGGTGCCGTTGTCGCAAACAACGACATTTCGGTTATCCATAGAGAAGGCAAGGAGGAAAACGTTGACTGCTTGGGCTTTCACTGCATTTACATCTATCAATCACTTAGGTTGAAGTTGAAGAAGACGGAATGAAATTGCCGCTGAGAAATCCGGTTGTTGATTTCCCGGATTTCACATTTTCTTTCAAATTAGTTTATTTAATTTAATTAAATCATCAAACAAGAAAAAACAATAAAGAAAAACGAAAAAGCTTTAATATAATGGAGGCTTTTGGGCCAGTACGTTTTCATTAATCATTAGGCTCTAATACACCCATATTTGAATTTCGGACCTAAAATCGTAA